AAAATGCTCTGAGCACCCTGCCCAATTCCTCTGCGGCATCTGCGACGCCTCAACGCTGCCCGTGAAGAAAATGAAAAGGAAAGAAAAGGCTGCGGTGGAATGTTTGCTCCCTCTCAAAGGCCGATCTGTGACGCGCTCGTGTCACGCTTCTCCATTATCCGACCCTGCCACGTATAGACCCTCCTCCTTCCAATGCTGTGCGCAAAGAGAGAGAGGAAAAAAAAAGAAAGCCGTTGCTAGGTTGAATGATTGTGTGGTTGAAGGAAAGGATAAAGGCACTATCTTCTGCAGCCCTTGCCCCTTGCGGGAGCACAGCTCTGCGCCTGAAGGGGAGGGGGTCTTTCACGCACCTGTGCCACGCTTCGCCCTTTCCCTTCCCTGCCACGTAACCCTTCTCCATTCAACGACGCCCGCGAAGAGAGCAAGGGGAAAAAAAAAACAAAGTTGCCGTGGAGTGTTGCTTTTCTCTCAATTACCAATATGCTTCCCTCCGCGTTAAGACGCTCCTTCTTCCTCGTCACGTGCTGGCCATGCTGCGGCTGCGTGGCGGAAAGCGGGAGGCTCCGCTACGCAGCAGTCGTTGTTGTCGTCATCTTTAGGAAGTGTCGGCGCTAAACATTTCTGTGCGCAACTTCTCCTGCTAGGAGAATGCTGAAGCCGAAGTATAAATGCTTTGCAAGCTGCATGCGAAATTGATTGACTCGCTGCAAGGCAAACGTGTGCAGACGTGCATTACCGATTACTTCAAATAATAACGGATGTCCTGTGATTTGTGAATAAATGTAAGTCTTCTTAAAACTTCCCCCTCGTGTGTTAGCTCAATGCACATGCGCCACTGCATGGAGAGCCCTCCGTTTATTTAGCTTTCATTAATTCAAACTTTTTTTAATTCAAACAAAATTTCGGGCCCCTTCGAGTTCAAATTGTCGAGATTCAACTATATGTTGATATACGTGAAAGCGCATATGCGTCAGAGTGCTTTTGCCCCAATCGGTAGACGACGCGTATGTCGAATCCCTGGAGGCGTAGTGACCAATGTCCGAGACGACCAGAAGGATCTTTCAGTGAAGCCAACCAACAGAGTGCGTGATGGTCAGTCATAAGTTTGGCCGTACAAATAAGGGCGGAACTTGTTTATTGCCCACATAATCGTGAGGCACTTTTTTTCGGTAACAGCTCTTTTTCGGTAGCAGAATAGTTGGCTTCTGCCTTAGTGAGGGCGTGGCTGGCATAGGCGACCACATACTCCGTAAAACCAGGTTAACGTTGCGCAAGTACTGCACCAAGGCCAACGCCACTTGCATCCGTGTGTACTTCGGTCGGCGCAGTAAGGTCGTAATGGCGCAATGCGGGTGGTGAGAAGAGTTGGCGCAGTGTTGTGAAGGATTCGTCACAGGCTGCTGTCCAATTCAAAAGATCTGTAGGGCCGGCAAGGAGTTTGGTGAGCAGGGCGATGACGGAAGCAAAGTTTCGGACAATTGACGAAAATAGGAGCACAGGCCGACAAAGCTCCATAGTTCCTTAACTGTAGTCGGCTTAGAAAATTAGGCAACAGCACGAAGCTTGTCAGGGTCGGGAAGGATGCCGGCTTTCGAGACGACATGACCAAGTATGGTGAGTTGTTTAGCCTCGAAGTGACATTTCTTCAGGTTAAGCTGAAGCCTGGCGTTTGTAAGGCACTGTAGAATCTTACGCAGACGAGTGAGATGCGAAGTGAAATCGGGTGAAAAAACCACGACATCGTCTAGATAGCACAAGCATATGTTCCATTTGAGACCGCGTAAAATGCTGTCCATCATTCGCTCGAATGTGGCGGGCACATTGCAGAGTCCGAATGGCGTTACGGTAAATTCATAGAGGCCATCCTGTTTGTCGAACGCTGTTTTCAGACGATCAGACTTGGCCATTGGGACCTGTTAATAACCTGAGCGGAGGTCAAGCGAGGAAAAATATTCTGCACCTTGGAGACAATCGAGAGCGTCGTTTATGCAGGGAAGAGGGTAAACATCTTTCCTCGTAATGTTGTTTAGGCGCCTATAAGCTACGCAGAACCAGATTGAACCTTTTTTTTTTTTTTTTGACGAGTACAACTGGCAAAGACCAAGGACTACAAAGAAGGCTTGATGACTCTATGCTGTAGCATGTCGTCTACTTGTTCTGCAATTACGCGACGCTCCACCGGTGACACACGATAGGGGCGCTGGTGCAAATGAGTGCTATTCCCCGTGTCAATTGTGGGAACAACGGTGTTCACACAATTGCGCAAGTACTGCAGATGAAATGAAATTTCAGATGAAATGCATCTGAAAGACTTGGTGTAACATCTGGCGTTCCACAGGGCAGTGTTTTGGGACCGCTTCTTTTTTTTTCATTTACATCAATGACGTAACATCTACTATTGATCCGAGAGTTTCCATAAAACTGTTTGCAGACTGTCTTATTTTCAAGGAAATCACGGCCACCGATGACCAAGTCTTGTTAAACAGCAGTTTGACGGGAATTGGTCAGTGCTGCACTACCTGGGGTATGAGCTTGAATGCTGACAAAACAGTCTTACTTCATGTAACGAAGAAACAACCCTTTCAGTTTTCTTATTCATTAAATGGTGCACCAGTGGTAGAAAAAAGCCAGTACAAATACCTCAGGATAACGTTCACCAATACTCTGTCGTAGTCAAAGCACATAGAAAACATCTGCGCATCTGCCACACGCAAGTTAGGCTTTTTACGGCATAAACTCAAAGCGTCACCAACTCATGTCAAATTACTGGCCTTCAAAATGATAATACTTCCTAAACTGCAATACGCTTCGGTCGCATGGGACTCCTTTATAAAAAAAGATAAATACCGGCTGGAAATGGTGCAAAGACGCGCTATACGCTTTATTTTCAACAAATATAGGACCACTGACTCACCAACTTCTCTAATGCTGGCGAATAGCATTTCAACCCTGGAAGATAGATGAAAAATCGATAGGCTGAAACTGCTGTTTGCTCTTTATACTGGTTCCACAAAGGTAAATGCATCGGTATACATTGAGCCATTTCAATCGCGCCCCACGAGACATCGACACACGCACAATTTGCTTCCGCATCGAGCCCACACAAACATGTTCAAGAATTCATTCTTTCCACGTACAGTATCGGAATAGAATTCACTGCCTGAAGTGGTCTTCAAATCTCAGTCTATTTGCCATTTTGAGCGTGCCATATTGTCTGTACTGTAGTCTGTACTCGACTTGCTTTACTGTTTAACGCAATTGTGAATGTTTAATAGGGAGACAGACCCATTTCCGTTATTCTGAAAGTCGTATTAACCTGTGTTTAAGCTCATCTATATATCTCTGTATAATGTACTTATCTTGTATTTTGTGCACATCATTCATCTATCACACTTGCGTGTGTTTTCCACTTAATTTTTGTGCCTCTCCTGCTGGTCTTTTCAAGACCGCAGTATGTTGTAAATAAAAAAATTCTTCTTAGCACCGCTCGGGGAAAGTCAAACGAACGCCTGAATTCGTGCAACAGGGCAACAAGCTGCTCTCCTTGAGCCGGAGCGAGATGACTGCCAATAGAACGATGAAATGCATCGGAAGACACGCTGTCCGAGGGAAGGTGTGAAACCAACGCGTTGAGCTCCATATTCGGCTCTGTGTCGAAGAAATTGGCAGGCGAGATAATACCTTCATTGATAGGCTGAACGTGGCCGAGCTTCTCTTTGCGGCGCAAACTGATGGGGCACGAGTTCGGATTGAAAATAACTATTCCGGTAGTGTCTTGACAAAGCGCTAGAACGGCGAATGGCAGCGATGTATGGTGGCGACTACGGAAGATGTCAGATGGCATGAACAGGACGGTGGCGTCAGAAAGTGAAGCACAATAGGCAGGGACAAACTGGGCGCTAAGTGAAGGAAGGTTAATGTCCGTCCCGACGACAAGGTTAGCCATACTAGATACGGCCGCATAAACAGAAGCCTTATCACAAAACGGTAACAGCTCCATTTCGGCCCGAGCGCAGTCCACGATGGTATAATGACGTGACAAGAAATCCCACCCTAGAATGACATCGTGGGAACATGAAGCCAACATGTAAAATTCAATGGTGTACAGCATGTCTCGAATTACCACTTTTGCTGTACATGCCGCAACGGGCTCAATTTGTTGAGCGCTCGCAGTGCTGAGAGAAACCACGGAAGAAAGCATCATCGCTTTATGAAGGGAGCGGCAGAGTCTTTGACTTATCACAGATATTGCGGCACTGGTATCGATGAGTGCAAGTGTTTGTACACCTTCGACTATTGCATCGATAAGATTGGCAGGGACTTAAATGATGCGACAATGACGCAGCTCGTGCCTCTGAACTGCGGCAGTTTGTTTTCTGTCTCAATGGAGGTGGGTCGTCGAGGCATAGGCGACACAGAACAACGACTTGTTTAGGGAAGGCAAGTGGTAAGTAGAACGTCGAGAAGTGGAGGTTCGGGTGCCGTAAGCAGCTTGCGCATCGCATTCGTGAACTTCAGATGGCACGTGAGGCGCGTGGTGAGTAGTCAGGGTATCTTGGTGCGCTAACTGCGAAGCACAGACGAAATAGACGTGGAATGTGACCTGGAATTCTGCAAAAGTAACATATGGGTTGGTTGTCAGCAGTGCGTCAAGGATTTCTGGCTAGCTGCTGTGTAGCTGGAAACGGCGCGGTAGACGGTCGCTCAGGTGGACGGTCACTCAGGCATAAGAAAAAGAAAACGCTTTAGGCAAACAAAATGTCTGGTATGCCGCACTCTTAACACAAGACTCAACCAAACTTTAATTTCACATTTGTGTGCTTCACATGGTTGAGTAGACACAGTTTTACAGAGCCTATTTGTTTCAGGATTATAAAATGCTTAATCTGCTCAATTTTCAATAATGTTTGCCAACGAAAGCAGGAGTTTAAAAAGAGACATGCTGTGAGTACCTTGAGTGACTTAGGCTTTGAGAATGAGGGGTGATTGTGCTTCAACAGGCGCTGGGCATGCTGTTCTGGCACAAGTATGACCTTGAGAAGGCGGTGGCTGACCTTGCGAACTTCACGCCCTTCCCGGACGAGTGGACAGTCGAGGACAAGGTGCTCTTCGAGCAGGCCTTCCAATTCCATGGCAAGAATTTCCACAAGATACGGCAGATGGTGCGTGCCAGTGCTTTGAAAAGTTTTTTATTGCTGGAGACTGCTGCAGCCTGCCAATCTTCCCTGGCAAGTACAGTGCATACAAGGGGACCTCTGGATTTTGTCTCAATTATAAGAAATTATTAGAAATGCTACAGACCAACTATCATGGTGATCTCATCAACATTTTATACAGCTCTGCATGGTTTCCAGTAAGTAACGTATGCTGTCGGGCTAGATGGTGTGTAACTGTGCAGAGCCCTCTAGGATATATTTAAGAATTTCTTATGGGGGATAGCCCCATCCAGTCCTAAAGGCGCCTTGCTGCATGCCATCAGCGCACTGCGGCAGAAAAAAGCATTTGACCTTCGTTATATCAAGGCCTGTTTTTTCTTTCTACTGGTTTCTGGTGTGCATGGCTTGGCTCGTTTGGCCGTTCTGCAGGTATCCTGATAGCTGCACCAAACTGCACCAAGAGGTGAAACCTGCTGCATCCTACTACATCTTGGTGAAAATCTCATAATTTGTGCTGAGCGTACGCCTAGATGTCTTGAAAAAGAAGACTGAACATGCTTGTGAACTATATTTAATCAACCACTGTAATTTTCAGTGGTCATTTGAGCATACTGACGTGTACTTTGGGGTATCATTTATCTATATACTTATTTATTTACGCTTGGGGCCTTTCGACAATACAGGGGAGGGAGTGGTGGTGGTGGGGTTACAAGGCAAACAAATGAAAAGGACCGATAACTAACAAAGGTAACATAGTTCATTATTAGTACAGCTGTGCCAATCGCACCAATTTCATACGATTCTCCTTCATTGTGCCGAGCTGCGCCAAAACCTTGAAATTTGCTGAAATTGTGCCACGTCGCGCCAAAAAGCTTGACTAGCCTCAAAATTATCTCAAGTGCGTTAATTTTAGCGAAAAACGAAGGCCATATTGGCCACCAGCACTTTGCGTCATTAATCAATCTAAGCGGCAGGCCCTAACCTTGAAACATAGTGTAAGTTATATACTCATTAGATGAGGACACTCCCGAATTGCAATCGACCAGATTAAGTATAAGATGAAGTAACAACGCTGCGCGCCCATCGGTCCGCCGACCATAGCGGATACCTCTTGGCTGGTCAACAAAACATCAAGAAAAAAAAAAACGTCGCAGCCATCAACGATTCGTGAGAAATATGAATTGCCCAGTCGGCAAACGCGGGTAGAGCATGTTAAGATTGTAGGTCGCATTTTTCGCTCGCGAACAAGGTCAACGTTTTGCGAACACAGTCATTGCCAGCCACCGCATTTGTTGCCATAGCAACGGCACATAAATCATTTTTCTGGCTTGATGTTGCGCCGACCCGGCGATACATATCCGTCGCAAGGCTGTTGTTACTTTATCTGGTCGAACGTGCCTTGCAAGCAAGCCGAAAAAGTTGGGCCTTGTGCTAACCTGCTCGGAACAGTGCTCAAGCCACCTTCGCCACAGTACACTAGTGTGTCGCGGAAAAGGGTCGTGATTTGGAAGAGGCTGTTAGCACTAGTCACGAAACACGGCACATTTTGCATTTTGTTAAATTACTCATGTGTGTATACTAGTGTGATCGCTAGCAATCAGAGCAGTGAGTGGCACTTATGCTGCCCCCCCCCCCCCCCCCAAAAAAAAAAGAAAGAAAACATTGCGCCCAAGTTTTTCCTTCCTCATCCCTACTCCTCAGTTTTATAAATCTCCTGATTTTCAAGGCCCCAGGGGTCCCCAGCTTGGCAGAGGCACATTCGAATTTGCAGAGTCCGTCAAAGGATTCCTCTGGCATGGCAAGTGTTAATGTGGGCTTCATTATCTGCACAGAAGGGTGATGTAGAATACTGCTTCTGTTGAAATAGCAGTGCACATGTTCACTATGCACAAATAAGGTGGGTTGAATGTTTTGTGCATATATTTATTTGAATGTAAGCCTTCTTTTTTTTACTGCTGCAAATTTGTTCTTTCATTAAAAAATTTTTCCCATAACCTGGTCCAAATTAGATTTTGGCGCTCTAAAAGTAGAATTTTTCAGCTCCGAAAATTGCTCCAGATTCTATTTTGGCTTTTGCACCTTGTTACTAGAAAGCTTTCTAATCGCACAATGTTAGCTGAGTATATCAAACATTGCAAATAATGAGAACATAATTATAGAATGCAGAAATTAAGTGCAATAACGTTCTGTGCTAGTTGGTGACTGATCATTGTACTATGTCGTGAACTAGTGCACTTCTTACTGGTACAAAGGGGACAAGATGGACATGACTCTCACAACTCAATTTATTTGAGAAACAATACTTCATACACATATGCACCCACACCCTCCCGAGCAACCAAATATTAAATAATAGTTGATGAAAACTTCTTACATCATAGCACATTTTGCACACCTAACGATAAAATAATCGCATCACGTTGTGGGGCCCCGATGTTGAGAACGCCACGCTCTTGGAGTGAACGGACACAGTAGACACGGTTGGAAGGAACCAAAACAACAAACATTTATTTAACTGCTTTTAGAACGACGATATCGTCAGCCGAATTATTATACATATTGTGGTCCACACGCTAAACAGCCTTACACAATACAACACTCAAAATAGCCTTACAATACACAACACTCAAAAAAATAAACACAAGAACACACTCAAGGCAACTTTGCCAACGCTTGACTCGTCGCGTGGGCCTACCGCAGATGACCCGCGGGGCCGCCCACTAGCACATATGCACCCACACCCTCCCGCCACGCGGGTCCACCACAGATGACCCGCGGTGCCGCCCATGGCAGACCGACCGCTAAAGAAAAGACAACCGTTCACGCCAAACGTTCGGCCCGAGGAACTGTCACTTGCGCCGACACTTCTTCTGGTTGCAACCAGCACTCACGAGGGCGCAGGGCTGCAGGCAGTTGCGCATGTCCATCACCCTATCTCACGACCGCATTCCTGGCCAACAGTAAAGATGATGCCCAGAAGGTAGCCAGCCGCGGTTTGCATCACTCCCGCTGCGTACACTCAAAACACTCGATGGAACAATGCAGTAGGGCAAAGGGGAGACAGCCCCGCAGGGGCGCCTGCGCAAGTAGGCGTTTGGTGTGTAGCGACACTACGGACCCGAACAAACGGGGTAGTTTTGACTCCCTCCCACGCCTAGCTGTGCGTGGCTTTGCCGTGTCCGGGGAAAAGGGAATCCTGAGGGTTGAGCCGACGCTGGGTGATTGGACCTTTAAGGCCCCCCGGCAGAGGCAACACACCCCTTTGGCCCCGGCTTCACGTAGACGGCACCCCTGGGCTGACCCACCTAGGGGAAATCGGCAGTCGCCTTTTCCTATCTCTCTCTCCCTACATCTTCGTCTTTTGTTCTCACTTTACATCTTTCCTGTATTCTCCTCACTTCATTTCATTTCCAATTTTTCCTGGCGGCAAGGGTTAACCTAGTGTAAATATCCAACCTTGGGTAGATATATTAGGTTATAGCGGCCATGTACGGCTGGCGCCTACGCTTCCTTCGCGTCTCGCAGCGTCCCCTTGTTGGGCTCGGTGGTGGGTGGCTGGCATGGCCGCCGAATAAGCTATCAAATTTATGGGAACCCCTAGCCCTCTCACAACTAATCGCCCCTCCAAGAGGTGGCGCACCGATGCAATTTTTAAATTTATTCCAAACTAAAAAGATAACTTCCCGAAGTACCACATTATCCACTGTGAAAGTACAGAAAATAAAGCTAGAAGCATTTCACCTTTCTTTGTGTCCAAAAGCCTTATAGAAACGCTGGGCGCAGGCTACAAGGCCACAAAGACCGCCAGTGGTGAACTGTTACTTGAAATAAAAGACAACGCACAGTACCAGAGACTACATAAACTCACAGCATTTGGGGATCAGCCTATCACAATCACACCGCATCGAACCATGAACACAGTGAAGGGTGTTGTATCAGATGGAGACGTGATGGACCTCTCTGATGATGAACTTCTAACAGGCTGGAAAGAGGAAAATGTCATTCAGGTGCAGCGTATCAAAATAAGAAGAGAAAATAAGGAAATCCCAACGAAGCACATCATACTAACTTTCGCATCTAGCACCCTCCCCACTGAAATAGCAACAGGATATCTTAAACTGCCAGTTAGACCATACATACCCAACCCGCGGCGCTGCTTTAAGTGTCAGAGGTTCGGGCACGGCTCCCAGAGCTGCCGAGAACAGCTTACCTGCGCGAAATGCGGCACCAAAGGTCATATTGCTGGCGATGACTGTCAGCTACAAGTCCACTGCGCAAACTGTGAGGGTGACCATCCTGCATATTCCAGGTCATGCGTGGCCTGGAAAATGGAAAAAGAAATTATTAATACAAAGTTTAAATTGAACATAAGCTTCTGTGAAGCGCGGCAGCGCGTTTCCCCGCATTTTGCTGGGAACACATCGTATGCCGAAGTGGTGCGAGGGGGGTCAGCACCACTTCGGTTTTCGGCAATGCCTTGGACCACGCCCAGCGTGCCGAGGCAAACGCCACGAGCCCCCATCCTTGAATACAGCCCCACCGAAGGCCCCTGTGCCCCACCCTCCTTGAATACAGCCCCACCGAAGGCCCCTGTGAACCTTGGCAGCAGCCAGGGCACCACACAAACTAAAGAGGTCCCCTCGACCTCCAGCCCAGTGGGGTTTAAGGCTTCGTCTGTCACGACGAAGCCTACAACGAAAACAACATTATCTGTCGTCTCTCCTGAGGCGATGGACACATCAACTGCACCGGCGCAGACTGCGCCAAAGGAGCGGCGGGGTTCCCTCGACCGCTCTAAAAAAGACAAAACGGTAATTACAGGGCCTTCTAAAGGCTCTGTAAGATAAGTCACTTCTCTCTTTAGACACCAGCCACACTCATTTCGTACACACAGCACTTCTTTACTCCCATAATGGAGACACAAATTATACAATGGAACATCAGAGGACTACTTCGAAACCTCGACGATGTCCAAGAACTTCTACACAAACATTCTCCAAAAGTGC